CCTGACTTGTAACCACTACACTACCAGAGCTCCTTAGACTTCCATTACGGGTGATTTAATTAAATGTTTGACCAAATATAGCAGGGTAATTTTTTTAAGTTGATATTTTTGTATGACTCATGAATGATGTTATAAATTTTGGCAGGAAAAAAGTTCCTTACCCTAGACCTATACTCACACCTCCATATTTAGATTCATTCTGATTTTCTGTAGTTTCCTGAATTTTTAAAATCAAAGGATATTTGAGTAGTATATTTTGACACTTTATTTGGCATTTTACTTTTCTGTTAATATTTGTGTATAAAATTAATGCTAAACAGAATTCTTTGAAAGTGATGCCTTATATTTTATAACTTTAGGAGTCCTGATGTGGAACTGCAGGATAATGCAAGGCCAGAGATTCAAACCCACTAGCCTCTTCTCAGAAACCCGAGGCAGGTTCTCTATAAGTAGGAACTGACTCCAACAGCACTTAACAACAACAGCCTAAAGAAAATATCTTTCCCAACACCATCGGTTTACTCATTCCTGTAAAGTAGGGTGATTTCCTGTACATTGTTATTAGTTACTGCTGAGTCTGCTCCAGTTTATGGCTATCCCAGGTACAAGACAAAAACATTGTCTGATCTTGCAGCATCTTCATGGTTTTTGATATTCTTGTGTATTGTTGTAGCCATTGTGTATTTTGAGTGCATTCCAACCTAGGGGACTCACCTTCCAGCAGCACATCAGACTATTCTTTTGTGATTCGTAGGGTTTCATTTGCTTATTTTCAGAAGTAGACCTTTGTCTTAGTCTAGACTTCCCATATGCTATATATACATGGAAACCCAAATCTAGAACATGGTATTGTGCCATTAATTTCAAATACTGGTTTTCTTGTAACTTCAATTGAAAGATAAGGGGAATTTGAAATGAATCTGTCTTGGTTCTGTATCTAGGCATCTTTCCCCTAATTACCTTCAGCAGTTTGCTTTTCCTTTGACTGTTTTGCATTTAATTGGAGTCATTAGTAACACACTTTTTTGGTCTTAAATTACAACTAAGCTACAGAATGCCTTATGCAAAAATAAGTTTTTAAGATCTCAGTTAAAAATCTGAATGTATGTTGTTTTTGTTAAGTGCTGTGAAGTAGGTTCTGTCTCATAGCCATCCTATATAGGGTTTTTGAGGAGCAACTAGTGAATTTGAATTGCTGACCTTGTGATTGAAACTGACCTTTGAGGTCCAGTGCATTATCCTGTGCAGAGACTTCAAAAAGTTCTTAGAAAAATGGAATGAAAAGAAAATGAAATTTAGTTCTATAAGCTTTTAAAAACTCTCTTGTAGATGTACAAACAGTTAAATGCTTGGCATTTAACGCAAGGTTGGTGGTTGCACCTCAGGAGAAATTTCTGGTGATTTGTTTCCAGAAAACTCAGCCACTGAAAACTGTCAGACACAGTTCTAGTCTGACATACATAGGGTCGCCATGAGTTAGAATCTACTCAATCAACTCAATGACGGTTTATTTTTGGTGTGTCTTTTGTTTTTAATACTTGTGTGTTCACACACACATAAACACGTGCTCATATGAGGTTTCAAAAAGTTTATTGAGAACAATGGCATTTTTTTTTCTTAAATGTTTTATTGTGAGTTATGTGATAGTTTACATGGGAGAACATTAGTTTTACATTCATTCTATCATACATCGTCTCATTGCCATAGTTACAATCCCCTGCATGCAATCCTTCCCTGTACCCCCAGGTCTTCAGCACACAGT